GTATGCTTACTAGCATTGAGCGCCCTGACATAAACATATGGATGCTTGTTATGCCAACCCCCAAATTTGATTATAATTTAACGTAAGTGTAATTGCATATAATTGATGTTACCTACCATAAAATTCGTTAAAATGCATAATGGCCTACTGTGGTATTTATAGACTGGGTAATGAGTATATGAACGCGCGCTCCAAATGCTGAATCTGTGATTAGCATCGTGCTGTAGATTAAGCACGCTGTGGCACTTGGCACGTCTGCCGCGGGGCTACATAGTTCACTTCAGCCCTTTATTAAATCATAATCATCTCAGTTATAAGGCGCAGCAAAACATGTCCTCATTGATCCAACAGACAGCGGTGCATGCGACTCTGCGTAGGGTTGAAGCGGCAAGATTAAACATCTGTAAGAGCATTAGGACACATAAGAGCATTAGGTGTGTACATACACACACACTCGACACATGCTCGAGGTCTGAATGGGTTCATTCGCAATGTTGGATGCCATGAAGGATGCAGGGAACTATCAGTGCCACCTGTTAAGCACACCATATTGGCTCTAATGACATACAGGCCTGTCCATCTGTAGCAATGGTCAACGGCACCTAAGGCATTTTCAGCCTCGTAATTCCCTATTTCTCCTCTCTCATTCGCTTTCTCTTATTCTTTCTGCTGTCCGCAAGGCCCTAATGAAGATCAATGCTTGTCTTCTTTCCCACTCTAAACAGCCGTCCCGTTTGAGCTCAGTGATCAAATGTGTCTAAAACTATTGGGTGGATGTGTCTGGCTCTGAAGCTGGGTATTAACAGCACAAGGGGTTCCATTAAATGCTGCTGGAGCCAAAGCAGACAGGAAGACGGTCCCAGAAGAGAATACAAGAGATTTTTTTTCTTATCCCACTGTGCCGTCTGACTGCCTCGGGCAGACACGCAGAATCATCATCATTCATTTACTCAACGTATTACCACACTGCCTTCTCTAGCCGCTCAAACTGCAGCTCAGGGAGATGAGAAAAAGAAGAGAAAAAAATAGAGACAGAGGGAGGCAGGAACTGAGAAACAATGCCAGATGTACGGTCCTAGTCAAAGTTTTGGATCTAGATGTATGTTTCTAGTCATCTTAAGGCACTGATAGATGCAGACTAAGACAGGCAATTAGTAGATTACAAGATGTCACATTCATTACTCATCAAACGTCAATTCAGTGTTTAATTACCGAAAACAAGTGCTGATAAACTCCAACAAATGCAGGGAGGAGTATTGCACTGGTATGGCAAAACCCAAGAAGATGTTTGTTGCTGTTGGTCAACGTTGGTTGCTAGTGTGACTCAGCCTTTAAAGACTTTTCATATAAAGGTCTAGAGTTGAATTCTTCAAGCAAGCACATACATTTTTGTATAAATATAGTAACATTTACTTAAGGTAAACTTATAAAAGCTAATCAAAAGAGTTAATCATAAAAATGCATTGCTGATGCCATTGCTGAACACTTCATCAGGACATTCATTCATTTATTAATTTTCTTTTTGGCTTAGTTACTTTATACATCCGGGGTCGTCACAGCTAAAATAACCGCCAACTTATTCAGCATATGTTTTACACAGCGTATGCCCTTCCAACTGCAACCCATCACTGGGAAACACTCATACACTCATTCACACACATACACTACAGACGATTTGACTTATCTAGTTTACCTATAGTGCATATATCTTTGGACTTGTAGGGGAAACTGAAGCACCCACACGAACAGGAGGAGTTCATTAGTACATTTTGATTCATAACATCCTTTTTTTTCTTTAAATTAAGCATAAATACCTGAATTTATAATCTATGACAAATCAAGTACACATACAGTGTAAGACAATTAAAAATTTTCCTAGATAAAACATCTTAAGATTTAATGACTCCTATTGAGATTTCATCTTGTTTTAAACCTCACAAACTTAATCAAATTTTCATTTATAGTTAAAGAAAATTCACTTTACAAAACAATGTATTGTACAAATGTGCGAATATATATTCTGTTTCTTTGGAGTTTGCATTAAAACAGAGGGTCCATTTGAGTAAATTGCTAAAGGGCTCATTTGGGTTTTTATTTGCAAACTACTTATAACATTTCTTCAAAATTCTAAACACAAATATCTTCATTTACATCAATAATTTAAAGAAAATTACAATAGGTGAATAGAAATAGATTTTAATGTGCCATAAAGCTAGGTTGCTGCCAGAAGTGGTGTTAGTGAGACCTGCAGGGGGTGCTCAACCTGCAGTCTGTGTGGGTCCTAATGTCCCAGTATATTGATGGGGACTCTATACTGCTGTTAAACGGAGGTTCTGTCGTGAAAATTCCCAGGATGTCCTTTGAAAAAGTGTAGGGGTTTAACCCCGGCATCCTGGCCAAATTTGCTCACTGGCCTCTGTTCATCATGGCCTTCTAACCACCCCATATTATAATTGGAGTCTCCTCTCCACCAATCAGCTGGTGTGTGGTGTGCAGTCTGGCACAATATGGCTGCCGTCGCATCATCCAGGTGGATGCTGCACACTGGTAGTGGACGAGGAGAAAAAATGTATAAAGCACTTTGAGTGTCCAGAAAAGTGCTACATAAATGTAAGTAATTATTATTAATTGTTTTTAATAAAACCAGAGTACTGATAATCACTATGAAGTGTTCTGTTAATTTTCTATTTACAAGTTTTAAATAAATGGTTGAGAAGGTCACCTTTTGGAAACTTGGTGGCATTTCATGATGTTTAACAAAAGATTCCCAAATTGGGATCAAGACCAAAAAATGGTGGCTGTGGTTTCTAAAAAGTTTATTTTGGTCACTGCATAATTTATAAACATGCTGTGTCATTTCATAATTTTGATAGTTTAATAAATATTTTAAAGACTGAAAAAAAAAGTATAATATGTCAGTTTGCCCCAAAAAATGACCACCAAATTGGAACATCAGCAGAGTACAAGATGTAGAAGAGAGCACAGGTATTGTTAGTTTTTATGTTCCACCACCAGGCTCTTGATTTTCTGATGAGAAGAGCAATTGTTCATCACAGTGCATACTGTAGCTTTACCAGAGCAGAATCAGCGGCTGATTAAGAGTCTGATTGAAACATTATTCTGTGACCTGCAGAGCTCGGCTTCCTCAGGATTTAAATAGACAAAGACAGCAAGAAAAAAAGACTGGGATAATGTGACTAATGCCATTAAGATCAGTGATGTGATAAACATTCAGACACAATGTTCTGTGGGAGACGTCAGTCTCAGTGTGAGAGCTTTTTCCACTTCACTGTGTTGAGGGTCATATTGGTTTGTGATCCTTGTTTTCTTTTTCTGTGACAAATTGAATAATCTCAGCCTATTATTCAATTAGGAAAAGCAATTATTTAGATATACGCATAATCAATGTCTATTAAAAGTTGAAAGCAACAACTTGTGTTAAAGTGATATTTCACCAAGAAAAATTACATTTAAATCAAATAGACAAAATCCTGTTTGAGGTTTTTTTTTTTTTACTGTGGAACAGAGAACAAAAACATCTATGGGTTCCGAAAAGCATAGACATTTTTAAAAATAACTTCTTTTAAGTTCACAGTGCTTCCCAAAGGTTTGAAATATACATGCAGTGGTTGACAGATTAAAACACTCCATTTATGCACCTACGCGACGCACAAAACCGAATTTTATTTATTATGAAACTGTTATTAACTGTTTATTTTCAATCAATTAAAGTTAAAAAAGACAGTTGAAATAAAATGCTATTTAGGAGCCATGTGCACCCACTGACAGGTAAAATCTGCTTTACTTTTTCTTTCAAGTTCAAATCAAACTTAAATACCAGAGCATTTTAAATTTGTATACATACATTAGCCTAATGACATCATCAAATTTAAAAAAAATATACAACAAATGAGAAATAAATTACAGAAAAAAAAAGAAAAAAAATTATAATAATTACAAGATTAAAATGTCTAGATTATTTAAATAAGGCAAATGCATTGATTAACCATTACTAATGGTTTACATTTATCTTGCAGCTGTTTCATTTCATCCTCTCCGAGTATGTAGTAAAGTTTTTCTGAGTCGCTTAGATTAAAGAATTAATTATTTTATGTTTCTCTCGTTTGCACAACTGTGCTTGCGCAGCCAGTTTCGAAACCAAGTGAAAGTACAGGTAGACTTAAGTAAAAATGTAATGCAAAAACGCATGTGATTAAAGACAGCTTTAGAAAGCAAAAGTCAAATCCTTTAAGGGTTTTTAGAAACATTTTAGAAGGTTTAGAAACCGAGCCGGACAAATTTTTTAAGGGCCAACAAGGCACGTCTCTTTGGGTCTGCAGAGCATGTGAGTGTCTGACAGACACGCAAACTGAACAAAATGGGTAAATAAGAGAAGACTTTCCATTATTTTAGCAATCGCAGATGTTAGGTTATATTAGGTGGATACACAATAGTGTAAAAGGATGATAATAGTAAAAAAAAAATATGTGTTACTAAATATACTAATATACAGCTCCTGGGCGGCCTGCCCAACTAAATTCTACGTGTATGAGTTCAACAAAAGAAACTGTGTCATTCATTAGCATTTATCACTTATCATTATTATCATTATCATCAACATTAATTATAATAATAAATGTTTCTTTAGAACCAAATCAGCATATAAGAATGGTTTCTAAATGATCACGAGGATCCCTAAAGTCTGGATTAATGATGCTGAAAATTCAACATTGCATTACAGTAATAAACTCTATTTTTAAATATATTAAAATAGAGTCATTTTAAATGGATATACTAATTCACAATATTACCCTACTTTACAAATACAGACTTGGCAAGCAGAAAAACTTTATAAAAAGTGTATTCAGTACTGACCCCAAACTTTTAAACAGCAGCATCAATGTCTGATTCAGTGTGATCATATAAATGTAAATCTAAGAATTATTTATATTTATGAGAGACCCATCCCATTGACCAATGATTCAATAAGGGGTACTTACTCTTCCGATGAGGACTGGTTCAGGACCTGCATACTCCTCAATGACAAAGAACTGGTTCCAGATCCAACTCCGTCGACTTCTAGATCGAGAGATTTCCCCTTTCGGTTGACTCCATGCCTCATCTTCATCTTCATCCTCCTCCATTTCCTGAAAAACAAGGCCTCTACCACCTCTACTGGAGCGAGAGTCAACAGACATCTCTCTGCTCTCCTCCAACTCCTTCCTTCCCCATTCCGGATCGGGTGGGAGTTTTAGGATGTGACTGCTGTCAATGGGCTCTGAAATTTTAATCAGTGGATTCTGAGTGACAGCGACTGCCATATGAACACTCTGATCAGCTTCCCCTTTAACGTCAGGATTCCTTTCAGTCAGTGAGCTGAAAGCGTCAGGTCGATGTCCAGAGTCAAGCTGAGACGGAGTGTGTGATATGCCCGTATCACTTTGACCAGCCAGCGGATTGGTCTCGGTGCTGGTCATGATCTCGCTTTGAGGAGTTGAAGCTACATGAGTCGTGAAGTGTTTGTACTTCCAGGATGCGGTGCCTGCTGCACTTTTCACCTCTGCTTTTCTGTCCTCCTCATTTAGATCCATACTGAACCCTCCGAATTGTTTAAAGAGCGTGTGAACGGTCTGTTCTGGATTTAGACTGGCATTAGTAAAAGAGCTTGACTGTAGCTCTGCAGTCTGGTTGTCTGGCTTAGAAAGTTCAGGATTGCCTGAGCGGTTTTGCTTTTTTATTTTCAGCGCATCCATCTGGCTGTGATCCATATTGATCAAATCTCTTTTTCTACTGTGACCCATTTTACCTGGGATATTCAAGCCTGGCACACTCTGTAGCTGGGAATTTACAATCCGCACAAGGTTTTCTTTGGATATTACTTTTAACAGGCTTCCAGTAAGATTCAGTTTTCGAGGCGAATCTGGAGTGACTACCTTTGTCCCCACTGTAGTGTGAATGGCAACATTTGAAGTCAATCTGGATCTTGAAGGGATTTTGATTCTGGTTCTGTTGAAATGCAAGCCGGAGGTTGTCCTGTGGTGCACCGGGATCCATTTGTCAAGCCTTCCACCTTTCTTTGTGTAATTCCTGCTCCTTTTTAACTCTAAAATGTCTTCAATAGGTGGTTGTAATACTTTTATATCCAATTGATCCGTGTCTTCGTTTATTTGTGCAGGTTGTTTGGAATTAAACCCAACAAAGCTTTCCTTGGTGAATACCGGAGAAGCTCCGTGGCTCTGGTGAGCTGGGATCTGCTCTTCAGCTTCTTCAGGACTGATCAGTTCTTTGAGTCTTGCCATTGCGTTTACGTTCCTCTCCAAACTTGTATCCCATTGGTCAGTGGCTCCATTTGCTGTGTGCTGAACGTGAGTCGAGCTCACTCCCCTTCTCCGAATGATCTTCGTGACATAGGCTCCTCTTAAAAAACAGAGGAACACCAATATTTGCAGGCTCCTGATGATCATGCTGTCCGTTTGGAGTGTATTAATTGAAACAACAACAGCTGATGACAAGAAGTGTTCGCTTTCCAGTTGTCTTCATTCTTTCGTTGCTCTCTTTTCACCGTCCCTCACTTATTCCTCCATTGCACCGCCTTCATTCAGCTCGGGAGAGAGCACGTCAGTCGCTGTTTGTGTATCTCCCTCAATCTAGCGGAGCGTCTGTGTTTTCGGTGCTGGTGAAACGTTTTACTCAGTTTCCCGCAGAGGGTTGGATGCCCTGAGAGAAAAGATAAAGATAATTAAGTTAAAACTTTAATCATTGCGGTATGTTAATTAAAAGTGGAACGACAAGGCAAGGTAGCAGAACACAGTCGGGCTGATTCATTAACGTATGAGTAATCGCAAGACAGTAGCATAGGCAACATCATTAGAATTCAATATGAGCCAAGGCGGCTGGTGTTTTCTTGTACTGTCAGATGTATCATGCATCATCAGAGGTCTTAGAAGAAGACTGTGTTAAAGCGTTTCACTTGTGCTCATTGTAGACAGAAGCCTGGCTGGATGCACACGGTTGTCAAATAAAAGCACTATACGAGGACATGAACGCATGATCTCCAAAGCTCCCCTGAGATACATTTTGCCATCCCTTTGTAGAATGTTTGGACATTATATGGACAAAGAGAGTCAAGAAACTTTTTGGAAACCCTTTATGAAGTAATAAATCATGTAGCAATTAAAACCACTCAGTTTTGTTAATATTTTTTTCTATATGTACTAACAAATTTCATATTGTATGAATTAATGGATGTCTTATATGGATTTAAATTGAGTTTTAAAGAAGTTTAATGTGAGTTTAAATAAAACTAAAACAGCTATTAAGATCTTGATGTTTTACATGTAGTTCTTATTAAATAGCTGACATTTTTATTTAAGAACCAGGCTTCTCTAAAGCCCGGCTCATACCGTGTGTCATGTTAATTTTGCTCAAAATAAGCCTTGACTGCATCATGAGGTTCAGCGCTCCTATTGGTTCTTGGTTCTGAAGTATCTGAAGTCACACTGCAGGAAAGTCTCTGAAATTTTCTGACTCTGACAGAACTTCATTGGAGGGAACATTTTATCACACTGACTATTAAATCAACTGCCGATTAACATGTCAAAGCAACAATCAAAAAGCACAGATTTAAGCCTAGAATTCCAGGAATCTTCCTAAATTTGTCTCAGATCAGCAAACCATGGCTGAAATCTCAGTGTGAGCAGGGCTTTAGTCTTGTAAAAATGTATGAAATAGTGTTGTAAGTTAGAATTTGATATTTGTGAATAAAACGGCATAATCGTAAACAAACAAAAAGATTGTTCATGGAGGAAAAATTAACTAAATGTAATGAAGGTGAGGCCAAAGTCGAGACCGATTTCAATTGTTGCTGTTTGTTAAAAGTCAAGTCAGCAGTGCCAAAGGGTAATCCAAAATCAGAGTAAAAAGCACACACACAAAAAATGCAGTGCAACCAGGCAAAAGGGCAATCAAAAAAGAGAAGTAATACATTACAAAAACAGAGGTCATATGGCAAATAAATAGAACAATGGCGATGTAAAATGCTTGGTAAGGCAGTGAAAACTGGCAATACTCCACAGTGTGTTTAGTGTGGCAGGGTAACATGGACTCCAAACAGGAATAGAAGCAGTGGAGAGGAAGCTAACTGCTAATCCTCTGACTAGAGCACCCTCTCCTGAACTTAATTAATTAACTAATTATTAAACTAATTTAAAAATACTGCAACCCAATACTAACCGAATTTCAGTGAGTAAATAAATAAGATTACCAGAAATACTGTCTTTGACAATATAGAAGAACCAATGATTAATTTTACATGATGTTTGTGGTGACAAAAGTGCTTTTCCTTTTTTTTTTTTTCAAATGCAGTCATTTTTAAAGTTTACCATCTTGAGTCTTCCCTTTATGTCAACATTTCAAGTTCTGTTTTTGGCAGTAATATATAGCTGCAGAATGAGACAGGCGAATGGGGATCATTGTTTCCGATCGCCATTCAATATAATAGACTGAACAGTTTTTTATCAGTCATCATAGATGATCAATCAATATTTATCTGACAGTCAATTTAGCAGATACTCATTTGTTGGCTTTGCTAAAACATTTTTCAGAGATATATAAACGATCTAATTTGGACAGGTTTAATTTATATAATGGATTCATTATAATAAAGGAAATACTAGCACGTTTTTATGTTTAGGATATAATACATCTTTTTATTCAATAACAATTTGTAATAATACAAATCTTTTTACATTGAAAAAATGTATAACATTGAATCAATATTTACTCCAGTGATTAAACAGTATTTATTTGCTTAATTTTCTTTTTAATAACTTTTATTGATGATTTTCCACATTAAATACTATAGTCATTTAGAGTAAGTAACATATTGTTTTTAAACCATAAAGTACTGGTAGTTTGTGGTAATTGCAGTTGCAAGAAATATAGTAATACAAACAAATGAACTGTTAATAATCAATAAAAAGCTTAAGTAAAAGTTTAATAAAAGACAAAGTAGTTTCAGTTTATAACTATATTAATTTTAAATTATTAAATATTGTAATTCATTTTAATGTGACACATTATTGTTTGTTTTTTATACTTTACTACAAAACGATTTTAATTAAGTGTGTCAACATTAAGATCCTGAATTAGTTTATTACACTTATTCGTACAATTAGACAGTCTATTATGTTTTCTTTGTGTATGTGGATACGTGAATAAAGTCATAAACCAATTATTTTTATTTACATAATTTGAGTTCCAAAACTGCACAGATGTTAAATGTTACGATTAAATAATGAAATAATGACTAAAATGGGAAACCATAAACTGGTTAGTCTTGTGAATGGTTAGTCTATTTTGCCATATTTGTGAAATTTTGTAAATATGGTTTGCCTAGATGTGCCGTGTTTGCTGGATTGTGTAAACATGTGTGGGTCTGCAGTTGGATATATCTCGTTTTTGTTTTTTGAGTAAACAAAACAGCCATCAGTTAAAATAGATTTTGCTAAAATGCATTCAAGCATGTCCATCCTAGGTTTGTCAATTTCTTTCAGAGAAAGCAACTAAACACCTCAAAAAAACACACTAAATATTTGAGATTTTTTTTCTGTAGTTTTTGCTCAAATGAATGACAGACTTCTCAAGCGTTCAAGCATGTCGTCATTTTCTCTAATAGAAGCTCCCTCCGAGTTGGTGATGCATCATTTCACGGGTTGGTTTTTGCAATTACCAAGAAACGAAGAGGTTTCTACCACAATGCATTAGGAACTGTGCAATTTTACAGTTTAAGTGTGATGTTGAATGAGGCCGTCTGATTTGTGTAGACATGAACAATGAGGCACTGCGGTGTGAGTTGTGTTTATGAAGAGTAACGAGGAGTAAGTTGAATGATGGCATTGGCAAAACTGCAGAACATTGCATGATGAGTTATGTATACAAGCAGCAAGATGCCCTCTGGGACATATAACTGCAAAACAAAAGAACTGTGGACTAAATAACCACAGAACTACTTTTACTAGAAAGCACTGTGTTGTGAGTAGAGCCTTAGAAATTGCATAAAGCCTCCCAATTGGATTAGAACTGGTGATTTCAGCCAATTTGATGTGCAATATGCATCAGACAGTAAGTGAACAGGCCCTAGTATGGAATTAATCACAGAGAAATGCATTGGGGCTTCTACACTACATTTAAGCTTTGGATAATGTCTTTTAAAACCACTAGGTAAAGGCTGATTTTAACCATGGGATAAGCAACATTTCACACTTGTCCATTAGAAAGACATTAAACGCTGATTTTAATAGTTTTAACCCAACAAAATGGACCAATGTGATGCTACAATAAAATGGTGTTTAGATACAACCAATCATAAGCATCCTTAGTTCTTTCCTCATTAAATTTTCATGTACTTTATACAGTTGCAGAACATTTCCAGGCACTCATATCAACAAAGACACATGGGAACGCTGACGGCAAATGTGTTACATGAAGCAAGGAATAAAAATTCAGACCTATTTAAAGTTTTAAACTAGGACCCTGTGAATTACATTTTATTCTTTTCCAAATCCCTTTTCCCTAATAAGCTAAATCAACTTATTTTGTTATTTAATTTAGCATTGTTTTATCATGGTTTTCTTTTTATTGTATTATCAGATATTTTTCAATGTGCCAGTATTCAGCTTAAAGTGCAATATCACAGCTTAACTAGGTTACTTAGGTTAATTAGGCATGTTACGGTAATTACAGGCAACCATTTAATAACAATGGTTTGTTCTGTAGACAATACAAAAAAATTATTGCTTAAAGGGGCAAATGATATTTACCTAAAAAACATTTGGTCCCACTTTATATTAAGTGTCTTTAACTACTATGTACTTACATCAAAAAATAAATACAATGTACTTACTGTGTTCATAATGTATTTGAGAACACTTGTGGTGCTTTTGAGTTGGGATAGAGGTTGGGTTATGGACAGGTTTGTTGGCATGGGTAGGTTTAAGGGTGGGTTAAGGTGTAAGGGATGGTCAACAGTGTATTTACAAATGTAATTACAAAAGTTAAATACAGATGTAATTACATGCATGTATTTAATCAAGCATAAGTACACAGTAAATACATGTATTTACACAATAAGTACATTGCAACAAACTATTACCTTACCTGTGTAAGTACATATAGTTAAGGCCACTTAATATAAAGTGGGACCAAACATTTTTTTAAATAAAAACAGCTTTTATTCTAGCTGAAATAACACAAATAATAAAATAAAAAAAAATTTACAAAATACTGAGAAAATTCTGTGCTCGGTTTAACATAACTTATGAAATATTTGAAAAAGGAAAAACTATATGAAACTTATTAAGTTTAACATTGTATTATTATTGTTATTATTATTATTATTATTATTATTATTATTATTATTGTTATTGTTATTGGACTGTCAATGCTTTTCAGCTATTTCTTTAGTAACTTCAAGCTGCTTTTCTTAAAGCTGCAGTATGTAAGTGGTTGAACTAGGTATTGGATTCCTGGATCAAAAAAAATAAAAATGCAGGTTGCCAGATTGAATTGAGGACCAACAGGAGCAAGTCTGTTGATCGATCCTAAAGGCTGATTTAAATCATGTTCTAAATAAAACCAACTGCACGTGATAGAAGGAATATTCTCCATAATAATAACCCTTATGTGAAACTGAATATGTGTCTCATTTCGGAGTCACA